GGGCCTCTGACGCACCGGTGCTCCTGTTCCGCAGATGACCGGCTCTAACGAGTTCAAGCTGAACCAGCCGCCCGAGGACGGCATCTCCTCGGTGAAGTTCAGCCCCAACACGTCGCAGTTCCTGCTGGTGTCGTCCTGGGACACGTCGGTGCGCCTCTACGATGTGCCCGCCAACTCCATGCGGCTCAAGTACCAGCACACGGGCGCCGTGCTCGACTGCGCCTTCTACGTAGGTGTCCGCCGCCGCCTTTGTTACTGTATCCACCTGGTGCTACTGTGCCCGCGTTAGTAGCAACCTAGTAGCCACCCTCTTCCGGCGCCGGGTTTCTGGCGTTGGGGGACATGCAGACGTCCGAAACTCGGTCTCCCCGTAAAAGTGGAGTCGAACAACCCTGCACACTGTCCTGACATGTGACAGTTGGGTTTGAAATTTGCAACCAGAAGGTGAAACCCTGGCTGCCTTTATTTAAAGGAGGGATTAGTGACTAGTAAATAGGAAATTGTCTCTTGACTCAGCCGTTCTTCCTTAACTTCCTGGCAGCGGTTCCCTCGCTGCTCACTTGCTTTATTTTTGTGTGCTGTGTTCTGTGGGTGTTTTTTTTTTTTGAGAGTGAATAGTTAAGACCAGTGTATGTCATCCTGAGCATACACTGAACAGTTGGCTGGGATTTTGAAGCTCTAAAGCTCCGTCAGTTTTAAATGGCTTGAAACTTTATCTTGTAGGATCCAACACATGCCTGGAGTGGGGGATTAGATCACCAATTGAAAATGCACGATTTGAACACGGATCAAGGTAATACGGCCTTTTGCCAGTTTACTTTTTGCTCAGCTGGTGTACTAGAGTATAAGGGTTTGTTAAGAAAAATGGTTGTTAAATTGCTTAATTCCTAAGTGGGATAGATGCAAGCAAAAATTGTTTATATTCAGGATTTTTTGTTTAAATGATTAAGCCATTTAGTTACTGATCACAAAATAGTATGCGTGTATTTCTTTGGTCAAGCCCATTCCAATCTCCATCTCCATCACTTACAGGAAGGGGCACTTAAGTCTTTGACCTTCACCTTGTCCTCAGAGGTGAACTGAACGGCTTCCAGGATGGGGCTGATATTTCAGTTCTCCTTTCAGAAACCAGTTTAACTTAGATGGAAGGAGGATAGGTTTAAAAAATCTAATGTTCTGAAACAGCCGTCCTGTCCAGGTACTGTATTAATCCTACTTGTGTCATCACTTAGCGTAGAAGGTGCTTTGGTGGCATTTATTGGATGAACAACAAGGTGGCCCATTTTCTCTTGATTGTTTCTGAGGGGCCAGGTAGGAAATGACTTAACCACATTTCTGTGGTGACTTCAGTGCACGGTGCGGATGGTGATGGAGCCCAAATGCATGGAGCTCTCTAACAGAGCTTTTTTTGGGGTGGGGGGGGTGTATGCATACCTTAGACACAGATGTACTTGAGGAGATGGTAAGTCACAGCCATGACTAGATGAGTAGGACTTGGACAGTGGGAGCATGGAAAGAGGCTGGGTGCAGTATTTTGTCAAAAAACTAACCCAATTGAAGAGGCTTTTGCAGGAAAGTCACTTTGCATGGTTTTAGAACTGTAGGTGTTCGGTTTTGTTTGCTAGCAGCTGATTCTATGTAATAAGTTTCAGGTTTAGGTCCTATTTGTTCAAAAACTTAGGAAAAAACCCACTAAAGAGCAAACGTAAAAGCATTTTGATGCTGGAGACCACAGTTGAGAACTCGCTGTTTATTCTCCAAAGAACTTGCTGAACTTACGAGGTTTTTTTTCTTGTGTAAATGACATGTTTTAAACAAGTAGCTTTCCTGTTTGAGGATCAAAACCACATACTGTTTTGTGTTGTACCCCTAGCATTTGGCATAGATCCTGGCACATAGTGAACGTTTAGTAGACGTCAGTTGAACGAATGAGTGAGATAGTGACGTGTTGAAATTGAAAGAGAAGAAGTTATGTTTGGGAGTTTGACCCATCAGGCAAACCACGTGAAGTAATCGAGAGATCCCGCGCCTTCTTCACCCCAGATCTCAGATCATCTGTCACCACGTTAATAAGTTTCTTACAAGCATTGGCTTAATGTGTTAAGTTTTACTCAGATCCAGAAGACAAATTATCTGCTCGTCTCTGCATCAAGTCTGCCTTGAGCCACCTGCCATGTATCAGAACCTACACTGGGTACAGTCCGAAGTAGAGTTAAACAAGGCTCTCTGTTTAAAGGGATCTAGAATCAAGTGAGGAAAATAACACCGTCATTTCGATGAAATCTGAAGTTCAAGTCTGTCTTTGATATGCACCGTGCCGGGACTCGGACGGCACCGCAGGGAAGAGAGGACCTGGCTCTCGTCGTGGAGAAATTGTCCTCTGTGTGGACGCCCCCTTAGGGTGGTGGGCATGGGTTCACGACAGTTGAACGAATGTCCTCCTGTGGTTCACTTTAAGAATCTTTGTGTAGTAGACGAAGTAAAACTCGGCTTTTTGTTTGTTTTTCCAATAGAGAATCTTGTTGGAACGCATGACGCCCCTATCAGATGTGTTGAGTACTGTCCAGAAGTCAATGTGATGGTTACTGGCAGTTGGGATCAGACTGTTAAACTGTGGGATCCCAGAACTCCGTGCAATGCCGGGACCTTCTCGCAGCCGGAAAAGGTAGGTGCTTTATATTCGTAACAGGAATTACGGTCCTTGGGGTGATTTGGTGCATGTTTGATGAATGTGGTATTGAATGTGGAGGTTAAGACTGGACATGTTTATTTTAGAAACCCAAATACGTAGAAATATTCTGATGCAAAAGAAAATTTATTTTGCTCAGGTTTTTTCTGTCAGTTGTGTGTGTACTGCAGAGCGCTAGCTTACATGGTGAATTTCCCATGTGTTGTTAACACTTTATATCCCAGGACTGAGTGGTCATTTAGCAGACACTGTTCAATTCCCTCAAGTGGGGTTTGACGTGGCCAAACCAGAAAGTGGGGTGGAGCGTCACTCATTCACTGACGACCTGAGGGTCCGCTTGCGCTTACTGCTAAGAGGGTGCAACGGCTCGTTTCAAGTTTAGTGAGAAAGGTGGCCCGTATTCCCTGGCTTTTACCAATTGCTTGTTTACTTTTAATACTGACAGATGTAGTGCGAAGGCTCTAGTGAACCAGGCGCCTGAGACGGACCCGTGTGGTGGTGTAACCGCCTGCTCTGCGCGGCGACCGTGTCATGGGCCTTGGCGCTCTGCCCTCCCCAGGCTCGTCAGGTGGTAGTTGGTTTCACAGATGGACGGCTCCAGCAGCTCGGAGGTGTCCCTCACCTGGGCCCATTTCCTCGGTGGGGACGCGCTGTTCCGTCCTCTTGGCCCTGTCACGTGCTGCAGTGCGTCCAAAGAGCCATTATTTTTGTCACTTCAGAGTCGAATCTGCTCCTGGCAAGACCTTTGTTCAGAATGAAATAATTGCATTGTTTCTGGTTTTGATTGATGGTCGCATGTAGCATGTTACGGGCCGTGATGAATTGCTGACGGAGTCTCCCGTAATGGACAGCCACACTGAAGCAAGCTGCTTATTGGTTCAGCAGGGTTCATTATGTCACTTTTTTTAATACTTCCTTTGATGGATGTATATACCTAGTCAGTAGCATGACAGTGGTTTCGCTTGATTTATGGTCAGTGGGGATGGAAAGCACTATTAGAATCCTGTGTCACCTGTATAAAGATTTAAGATAAAATTTCCAGTCTGATTGTACTATTATAAATTGATTTCTTTCTGGGTTCTGTGTTTTTTAAGTTTGGTGTTTCATGGGACTTAGGTTAATTTCTGTTTTTCTACATTTTGTTTTCTGAGTAAGCTATGGTAAATCATATACTTTTCTTATTTAAATATGCCTATATTAAATTTACTGTTTTGAATATTTTTAATTTTTTATTTTCCCCTTGGTCAGAATAGTTGTTGATTTTTAAGGCCAGGTTATGGCGACTATTGGGTTGTTACATTGTTAACCATAACTTTTGTTTTTTTGACTAGTGGTGTGTTGTGAACACATTAGCGATTATTATCCGCGTGGTTTAGCATGTTAAAGAGATGTCTTACTATGTTACAGGGCCTTTTCATGTTTCACAGTGGTTCTTCAGGTGTTAAAATAGTACATCAGATTAGAGTTGCTGAAAAAATAAATGAGAGTTGCTTATTAACTGAAAGTCATAATCGGCAACAGTTTTGTATTTGAAGTCTAGATTTAAAAATAAAAGATTCATCATCATCAGGAAAATACATTTTGCCACCATTTTCATGAATTTGCTTTCATGTATTTGGCCTCCGAATAACATATTTGAAAATAACTGCTTTAAATCCTCGTGAGCACTTTAAATCCTGCATATAGGAAATTTTATTAGTATATAGGCTTTTTGTAGAAGTTGTTTTAATATTGGAAAATGGCATTATGAGGAAAAAACACTTTTATAGGAGAAAATGCTTTTTAAATTTTTTCTAAAGATGGACTCTGTCTTGTGTGTTCAGTATGATGTCAGGGCACAAGAATTTGCTTTGTCATATGCCAGTCCTTTGCCCTTTTCTTTTAATTTTGAGTTCATGTGCCACCAAAAGCAACTAGAGCTCGTTAGTGTGGCTCCCTCACTCTCCCTGGAGCAGCCTGGGAAGGTCAAGACTTAGAGTCACAGCTGAGATCTTGTTCCAGAAGCTGGTCATGGACGGGTAACTTTGAACATGATTGTTCTGTGAAAGGCGCCTGGAATTATTTTATGGCTTTATTGTCTCTTTTTGAGTATTTTTTATACTTTTATGTTGTCACTAAATGAAATAAGGTTGGAAAAGTTGTTTAAAAATTTAACTTCATTTAGTAACAAAGAGAGTCAAGTCCTCAAGTGTTTTTGGAATTAACTGGAATGTACATTATATGATACTTGGGTTTATTACTTTGTGTAAATTAGTTGGCTTGTGTAACTGTAGTATTTAAATTTGGTGCCTGTGTTTTTGGGAACCTGATCAGCTAACTTTTTTATGGTTTTATGATTAGTGGCTTTATTTTGGGGCAAAATGTCGTTTTCAGGCAAGTAGATACTTTTTACAGGTTTTGGTTTTCCTTGAAAGGTGTACACCCTCTCAGTGTCCGGAGACAGGCTGATTGTGGGCACCGCGGGCCGCAGAGTGTTGGTGTGGGACCTGAGGAACATGGGCTACGTGCAGCAGCGCCGGGAGTCCAGCCTGAAGTACCAGACGCGCTGTATCCGAGCCTTTCCAAACAAGCAGGTACCGGCCTGCGCCCCCCTGTGTTTTGGGATTTGAAAATAATAGGCTCTTACGTAATGATGGTTTGGTCACTGCCTTTTAAAAACTACTCCCTTTTTTTGAAGCAGTGATTTAGAAATTGTCAAGTATGTTTTTGACATCCTTGTATTAAAAGGTGGTGTGTTAACCCAGTTTTAGAGATGAGCTTGGTGTTCAGGGAGGTGAAGTAACCTGCCAGGTTTGCTAGAGGTCTCCTGTTATCTTGTCCACCCTGGTCCAGGATGCTGGGCAGTGGACAGGAATCCAGGAGAGTTCTGCAGGTATTTAAGGTTACACATCAGCGAATTCAGACTCGAATCTGGAAATGAAGGATTGTGGGATTTGCTGCCCCCCCCAACCTCTGTAACCCCAATACTAACAGGTCTTCAGCAAGTCTAGCAGCAGAATGTGGGTTTTTTAGAAGAATGCCCCTGAGGGTAGGAGGCAGTGCCCTCATGTAACACCCAGGAATCACTCTCGATGTGCAGGGTGACTCGCCCTCCCGCCTCCTTGCTGAAGGAACTCACCCTGATTAGTAGTGAGCCCTTCTGCCCGCAAGTCCTCGAAGTGCTGGCGGGAGTTAGTTGGTAGCGTGGCAGCTGCTCTAGGGGTTTTGCAGGAGGAACAGGCGTTACAAGCAGCAGCTGGCCAGGAATCCTGGCGTCGCCTGGTCGTGGAGCTGGGGCCACCATGTCAGTTGTTCTCTGGGCCTTTATCTAAAAGGCTGGTACCTCCAGTGGTGAGACTTGAGATTTAAATACATGATTAAAATATGCTTGCATTTATAAGTATTTTTGTCTTACATCTAAAATTTTCTGTCAGAGCATATCTCCAGTTTATAATGGAAGTTTAACTAACAGTAAGATTTTATTGATTTTTCTGTCTCCATAAGTAGTTTTTTAGTAGTAAATCTTAACCTTGAAGAATTAAAATAAAAAAGAAATGAAATATTTTTGTATTTATCTTATCTTTTACTTTGACATAAAAAAAAAGTGATTATAGTCTTATTTTAAAAATAAAACCAAGTATTAGTGTTCTTAAAATTTTGGCATAGTTATAACTGTTAGAACAGCTTAGCCCTCTGCTGAAAATTGGCCATGCTTACTTCCCTTTCTGAATAACCTGCTGTAGCGTAGGTTGCGTCTGAGCATCAGCACCTTGTTTTGGACCTGGATTCACCGTTCTTGGCTTTCTCTGGTTCCCCTGGCAGGGCTACGTTCTGAGCTCTATTGAGGGCCGAGTGGCAGTGGAGTACTTGGACCCCAGCCCTGAGGTGCAGAAGAAGAAATATGCCTTCAAGTGCCACAGGCTGAAAGAAAATAACATTGAGCAGATCTACCCAGTCAATGCCATCTCCTTCCACAACATCCACAACACGTTTGCCACAGGTGAGCATGGTGTGCTGTCTCTAGTCGTTGAGATGGTTTAAGCCTGCGATTGAACACTAGACATTTATACTTAGGCAGAGCTTTAAAAAGATCACGTTTGCTTTTTATGATATTTGGGGGGGAAATCTGGTACAGTACCTCTTGGGGGACAGTGTTATTTCTGTGATCTTAAAAATAAGCATTTGCAACGATAATGGTTATTTTTTTATCTGCTTTCAAGGATCATGTTTTTAACTTTTTCAAAATTACTTGCAGGTGGTTCTGATGGATTTGTTAATATTTGGGATCCATTTAACAAAAAGCGACTGTGCCAGTTCCATCGGTACCCCACCAGCATCGCGTCTCTTGCCTTCAGTAATGATGGGACCACACTCGCAATAGCATCGTCCTATATGTATGAGATGGATGACACGGAGCATCCCGAAGATGGAATCTTCATCCGCCAAGTGACAGATGCAGAAACAAAGCCCAAGTGAGTGCCTCACCTGTGCGCCAGCCTTTCTGCATTCAGCCCAGGATTTATTAATTTTTCCAAACCCATGAATAGCATTGTTGATGCCTGCCTGATATCACAGTGGACGGGGGGTGGAGCTGATTTTATCTCGCTCTCCCAAGCTTTCAATATCCGTGGGTTGATAGATGTCTGATGGGTAGACTTGAGCCTCGCTGTCTGTAGAGGGGCTGTCGGGCTCCCACTCTTCTCGAAAGGTTGATAGTTGAATCTCCGGAGTTAGTACCAGCTCATTGCTGAAAATTAAGTTGAGGAATTCAAGAATAATTTGCTTAAGCAAATTCTATTTAAGATATTGAAGAATTTGAACTGCCAAAAATCTTTCCTCTCCACAGAGGTTGCTTCTCTAATATTTACACAAAGTGCATGACTTTTGGGTCTTGTTGGAACCCAGAGTGATGTGGCCTTGCCTGGAATAGCAAAGGTCCTTGGTTTTGAAATTGTCACAGACGACCTCCTTGGCTCTTGGTTGGCAGAGAGGAACCATTTACAGTTTTTGGAACCAAGGGGGCAAAGCTCTTAAGTACCTGCACCAGGCTTAAGGGAAAACTGATGCTGAGGCACTTGTTAAACCATGAAAATACCCATCCAGGCGTCTTGTCCTGTTTGTTGTCCCTCTGCACGCAGGCCCTTGCAGGAAGTCCTACATAAATATTTATGGAATACGGAATGTTTTCAGGATTTCTCTATTTTTCTGAATTAAAGTGGTAGAGCACCCTTGCTAAATTGGTTGAGTCCTCGCGAGGGGCAGAGTATTAAATACTCAACTTTTACAGGGTTGACTTTAGACAGACAGCATGTGAGCCTGTTGGGCGAGGCTCTGTCTGCATTTGCTCTCACTTCGCGTCTCGTCCTGGCCGCCATTTGATCTCATGCTGTCCTTGTTTCTTTTGAACTTGTAGGTCACCGTGTACTTGACAAGATTTCATTTACTTAAGTGTCATGTTGATGATGATAAAACAGTTTCTATTCCATAATGGTGGGTTTATTACTTTTAACAAAGAAACCAGAGAAAATACTAATTTTAATATTATAAGAACCTAAAAATAATGGATAAGAGGTTTTTATTGATTTTTTTTTAACACTTAAGTGCATGAGATGGTCTGATGGTTTGTTATTCGGGCACGCAGACCTGGAGGCAGCCACTACGCTTTTGAGAATCAGTTTGACATTAATGATTTTGTTTCCACTGTGGAAATAAATGTTTGTAAATAAATACAGATAATAAAAATCCCTTTGCCTTTTTCTGGACCTTAAATGGTAGAGGAAGAGGCTCTCGAGCCATTTGTTTCTTTTGCTGGTTACAGTTGCTCCTTCTCAAGCTGCTCAGACTGCCTCACGAGGAGGTTAATCTACAATTAAACAGTATTTCCTCCTGGCCGTCCGTTATTTTCTGAAGCAGATGGTCCATCATTTCCTGGGCTGTTAAACAAAGCGAGGTTAAGGTTAGACTCTTGGGAATCAGCTAGTTTTCAATCTTATTAGGGTGCAGAAGGAAAACTAATAAGAAGACCTCCTAACATCATTTTGTGACTGTAAACAATTATTTATTAGCAAACAATTGATCCCAGAAGGGCAAATTGCTCGAGTCAGTAATGAGCTGAGAAAAGACAGAGCATATCTGTGTATTTGGAAAAATAATTGTAACGTAATTGCAGTACATTTAGACAGGCATCTATTTGGACCTGTTTCTATCTCTAAATGAATTTTTGGAAACATTAATGAGGTTTACATATTTTTCTGACATTTATATAGTTCTCATGTCCATTTCAGTTGCCCAGCCGCTGGTGATTAAGGTTAAAAAGAAAAAAATGACAGTGAGAATGCGATTCATTTCAGCGTAATGCCCTGAGGCAGAGCAGGGACGTGGCCTGGCCTGTTCTAGGTGGTGCCGGCAGCGCTGTGGTCAGACTTTGTTCCACTTACGTGCAGATGTAGGTTTCTGAATGGGACTTGGACCGTTACCGAATCGTAATATATTCATGATGTATTTTTAAAAATTCTTTGGTGCAGAGAACGGTCTTGTTTTTATTTTTTAAGTATTTCAGTGAAAGCTTGGTGTAGTTTGATCCATCTTGTGAAACGTGTTTTCTTCGTTGCAGGTCCACCTAGCCGTCTCGTGGAGGTGGTTTCTCTGTGGGAAGCTGTTTCCTCCCTGCAGACACGTTCTGTTCCGGGCATGCATGCGGTCGCGTGGATGCGGCGCTAGTGTGTGGGTTTCCCTGTGTTCCGTCGGGTGCGGACCTTGTCTGCGCCTGTCCGTGCCGGCTCCGGGGCAGGGAGCCGGTGTCCCTGTGCAGCAGCCGAGGAATCGTCTCCCACTCCCAGTTTTTCCTGAGCCGCTTGGGCCCTTGTGTAGAATAATCTGACCCTGTTACTGTCACGCTGTCTAATAAACGAGCGACTCAGACCCTTATATGTTGGGCGTTTTTAAATGTTGGTAATTACTGTAATTTACTTGGTAAAAAGGCTTGCGCAGAGCAGACCCCTCCGTCGGGCCTGTGGGGATGGCGCTTTGCCTTCGGTCCACGCTGCCTGGTTCAGCTACATCCCCTTTGAGTTCGGTGGGATTCAGTCCTGGTGAGGTGATCTGCCGGAGCCCTGCCATTCCCCTCGTGCCCTCCTGCTGGCTCAGCGGGGCCTTTGCGCCAACTGCGCGGCGTTGCAGGTGGGCATGGACTGCTGCGGGCAGCGGCGACACCCTTGGGCAGGACCCCCCTGGACGCGCTGGTGCTGGGCGCCCGTGCCGCTCGCCTCCCCCTGCTGCGTCCTTTCCTGTGCGCGGAACCAGACGAGCCGTCCCCTCCACGCGCAGTCAGAGGGTGAATAATGTAATAGCCGGAGCTGGCCGATGGCAGTGGGTCCTTGGTGGGACTGTGCACTTCCTAAAGTCACAACCACTTGGCTGAGGACAGAGCACAAACCTAAAATGTTCCAGGGATGGAGGCTAAAGCATCGTGAAGGGAGACTGAGTGACAGCAGTGTTGGGGACCTGTCTGAGGCGGTGGGACAGCTGGGTGTCCTCTTGTCTCTTGGAACCAAACGAGCCCTCCCCTCGGTGTGTGCTGGGCCGCCCTGCGGGCCCCTGGCTGGCTCCACAGCTCGCCTTGTCCCCGGTGACCCAGGTGTAGTGTCAGCGTTTTCGTTGCCCTCCTGTACCAAGTTTTTCTTTCTACTTCTGTCTCTTCCGTTTGCCTTGTTTCCTCTCTGCTGTGCCATCCCACCTCCTTAAAGGGCCCCTGCCCACCCGGGGAGTGCAGCAGCCTCGGTCTCCGCCCTCAGTCTTCTGTCCGGTGGAGCAGGGGCCCGAGTGTGCAATGCCTGTGAGTTCTGCCGGAGCACACGGCGGTCAGTGGGGCGCGTGCAGGAGGCGGTAAACACGGCTGCCTCTGGTGCGTGTGATGCGCGTCCGTCTGCCCTCCTGTGTGTTCTGTTAAACGTCGTGGCTTCCTGACCTGGTAGCAGATGCCCTGCCACCTCCAACTGGAACAGACAGCTCTGAACCCCACGGGACTTTAGGAACTTGCTCTTTTTCGCGAGCTGTTCTTGGGGTCCTGCCGAGCTCACAGTAGCCCTTTAGTTACTTTACGAGAAAGCTGCTCCGAGGCCTGCAAATCGCCAGGCAGGACTGCTGCCTGTCAGGGTGCTTCGAGGAGGGGTGGGACTGGCCCTCCCTGGGGGTTCTGACAGGAGATGGGAGTGTCCTGGTGGCAGCTACCTCTGGTTCTGCGTCCACCATGTAGATGCTTCAGCTGCATTAGCAGGTTCTCCTTGGTTTGGGGGAAATCCAGGCCCTGTTAGAAGGAGCGAGGCCGGCTGCCCCGTGACCTTTACCTTGCCGTCCAAGCCCTGCATTGCTGGGCCTGTCAGTCATCTTGGTATTTCCCAGGGCTCTGGTCAGGCAAGACGGGGTCCTTCCCCAGGGAGGAGACTGCGCGAGGGCCTCCCGAGAGCCTGGAGAACTGGCAGTGCAGAGGTGCCTGTAGCTGTTCCGCTGGTGCTCCCCGGATGCTTTGACCTGCGCCTCTGCTCTCTCCCGCCATCTCCTCCCCGCCGCTCCCCGCTGCATTTTACCTTAACCAGCCCCCCGACACGGATTCTTGGCGTGCCCGGCTCTTTGCCTCGCTGTTCCTCAGACACGCTGAGCCCCACCTTCACCGTGCTCGGGGGTTTCCTTTTTCTGAACTGCTCTCGCCAGGTGCTGCTCGAGATCCCTTTTCCACGGAGCCTCTGGGCTCCAGTTCACAAGTGGGGGGCTGACTCCGAGCTCCGAGGAGGCGTCCCCTGCCTGTGTGCCTGCGGCAGTTTCTCACACACCTGGAGGTCTACTCTCCTTGTGTACGTGCCTCGCGCTCCCATCTACCTTCTGTCGGGAGCGGGGACCGTGTCCCTGTACTCTGACGTGTAAACGCTGGGCGCCTTGGATGTTACTGAAGGATTGAGACAGTCCCTTTTTCAAAATAATTTTCAATATAATTTTGGACAGTGTACAGCGCACTGGGCATGTGACCTTTGCTAATTCATTCAATAGGCCTTTACTAACTGACAGGAAAACTCAGAATCACACCCATAAACCCACCATCCAGATTTTAAAGTGTTACTATTTTGCTGTATTTCATCTCCTTGTTTTAAAATAAAACTTTGCACATACTTAAACGTCTCTGGGCCGCCTTTCACTCAGGAAAGGACTGATTTAAGCTCTCAGGACTAGTTACAGCAGCTTCCTTTAAAAATGGCACCTGGCCACGCTGCTTTGGAACTAAGAGAATGAGGGTGGCTGAGCCGGTGGCCGTAGACACCGATTGGACTGTTGGATAAAAGGCACTTTCCCTCGATCAGCGGGGTGTGGCAACGGCGCTTTCATCTCCGAGGGTCCCGCGAAACTTGTCCTGGGGTTGTCGCGGGCACTGGCTTCTTGGAGAGGCACACAGGTGGGCAAGAGTAGGTCTACAGCTTTCGTGTAGAAACCAGTACAATAATTCGTAAATAATACAAGAATAAACCGTGTTCACGCACTCACCGCTGTGAGCCTATGTCCGCCCACCCCTGTGTTTTGGGTCCTGATGGGAGGAAGCCTGAAGGCAAAAACTAGAGTGTGCTGTGGTTAACCGAGGACTGTGGGGCTTCAGTGTAACCCCTAATTTGGCAACCAGCTCAGCAGATTTTACTTTATATTTTAAATACGTTTTTATTGATTTTGAGAGAAGAAAGGAAGGGAGAGGGAGAGAGAACATCGGTGAGAAACTTCCTGCACGCCCTCTCCTGGGGATCAAGCCCGCAACCCGGGCATGTGCCCTGGCGGGGAATGGACCCGGCGACCTCGCGGTGCATGGGCCGACGCTCAACCGCTTGGCCACACTGGCTGTGCTCTCGGTGTATGTTAAGTGAAAAACAGTTGGTTTAATTGCATCGTTTTCCTTCCTGGGGCTGCAGTACACGGTGGTGTTGCTTCCAAATCGCCTGTCCTGGACGGAGGTGGGAACGCTGGGCCTTATCGAGCTTTCCCGTAGCAAGGTGCTGGCCTGACACCCCTCGAAGGCTCATTGCCAGTGATTTATTTCACTAATTTCCCAACAAATACTTCACCTCTGCCCATCCCAGCCAACTCCGCACAGTTAACACAAACCCGAAGAAGCCATGCGCATTACACCCACCGGTCTCCAAAGCACCGGGGCGGCTTTTGCAGTGCTGCAACCGAGGACCCTCCGTCCCCTCTGTAGGACTCCGTTACAGGCTATCGCCGTCATTTAAAACCCATGTACCCGGACTCCTGACCCTGTTATAACATCGCTTTATAATTCTCAAAGTACTTGGCTCTCAAAGGTTTTCTGCGCACCAGCCACGCGTTCTTAGAGTCCGGGCGATTTGTCTTCGGTGTTCCATTACCCACAGCCCCTCAGCCGGTAAGACCCCACGCTCCTGGTGGATTGCCTGACAGAAATCCCTCAATCCCTTCATTATTTCGCAGCTGAGGGTGGCAGTCCGCTGTTAGCGCTCTCCAGTTAAAGAAATCCCCGCACTCGGAACAATGGCCATTACGCCTCCATCAAGCTTTGGGTGCAGAACCGGCTCCCGCTGGGTTCACCGTTAGTTCATCAAGGTGTGGGTGACGCTGCGGAGAAGCACAGCTTCCCTCGTGCGACCCACAGAAAGGCTACAGGGGGGATGAGTGTGCTAATTATTTGCTGCTCACCAGGGGAACGTCGGCTCGGTCACGAGACATCCAGGATGGGCGCTGCTGGCCAGGCCTTCTGTTTGCTCATGTCCACAGAACGTGTCCTGTCAAGGGCTGGACCTCACCTTTGCTTTGCAATGAGAGCCATCATTTCAAAACACCCCATGCTTATGCTGCCAATGATTATCCACGGTTTTTAATTTTAAAAATATGTTTTCGTTGACTTCAGAGAGAGGAAGGGAGAGGGAGACAGAGAGAGAAACTTCCACGATGAGAGAGAGTCATCGATCGGCTGCCTCCTGCACGACCTCGGCATGTGCCCCGACCGGGAACTGAACCATGATCTCCAGGTCAACCGCTGAGCCACACCAGCCAGACCACGGTTTGTTTTTGACCGAGATCCGAAGCTGTTGATGAGTAAGAGAAATCTCATTCATTGGGTCCCCACTCAGGAGAGGAAGCGCCTGCGATCAGAGGGGACGGATGCCTGAGGCGTGGATTCCTGGTGATAGCACACGTTGTTGGTAATACTCGATCTGCCCATTGAACGGGGCTTCTGCCCGGAGCCCCTTGAGTAGCCGCCCACATAGTTGAGGGTGGGCACCTTTCCTATTTCTAAGGACACACTTGTTGGCTGAAAACAGAAACACTTTGATTTACCTGTGACCTCGAGGCTGGTGGTTGGGGATGAACCTTTGGGACCGTGCAGAGGAACTAGCTTCTGGGGACTAACTGGGAGGCAGTGGGACTCACCTGAAATCTACACTTAAACTGGGTCATCAGGCAAATTTTTAATTTGGCCGCCAGTCAAAATTTCAGCACAGTTTTTTTTTTATTATGGGTCCAAAATGGGTAGAACTCAGAAGAGAGGATTATGCCTGATTTTTTGTTGTTGTTTTGGCTGGTGTGTAGACCTCTTCTGCCGACATTCCTGGTTGATGTTCATCTTTTTAATCTAAACTGCTCTCCCTCCGTAGTGCTTCCTAGGGGAGTGGGTGAGGAGAGATCAGTCAGGGGAAGTTGTTTTTAGTACTTGTCGCCTTGAGCATCTCACTGTAGACTGGGAATTAAAGGGACACAAAAAAAATTGTCTTTAAAAGTTCTGTTTTTGGCAACTCGGGAGACGGACTTTGCCAGAGAGGGCCGTGGCCACGTGGGAGGGTGGCCCCTGTGCCCGGTTGAAGCCTGTAATGCTCGTGGGTGTAATTACGTTGCTTTGGGGAGGAAGGGGGCCATTTTTG